ATCAAGTGAATTTAAACTTCACCCCTTTGCACAAACAAGTGGTTATCAGGACTCAGTAGCTGAGTGGATAACACGATGGCGTTTGAAGCAAAAGGTACTGGGTTCAAGAAATGGAGTGAACATCAACTCTGAGATGCAGGTGCATCCAGCTGATGAGTCCCAAATAGGACGAAATGCGCATCCTGGATTCCATTGCTAGCAACTATCCACCTTTGCTTATAATAATTATTAGTTCTCTAATCATTAAATTAATGAAATTAGATTAAAAATAATCTTTTGATCAATTCAATTTTTCTCTCTTTTTTTAATTATTCAAGTTTTTTTCAAAAATTGATTTATTCGACAAAAAAAAAATTATTTTTTATTTTTTTTTAACATCATTAACAATAACAGCAAATGTCATTATCATATTACATCAATGAATTAATTAAGTTTATAGACCAATGATGTTTTCTTTAAAATTATCTCTTTGATCAAACTTCTTGTTGTCGTTGTTGTTGCCATTGATATTCTTATTAATTATTCTTTTTTTTTTCATCTATTTTAGTCTTATTTTAATTAAAATTTTGTTGTTAACCATATAAAAATTATTTCACGGCAAAAAAACAAAAACAAAAAGAACTATGTAATGATAAATGTATGGAAGATTATTTTGTTTGATCAATGGATTGAAATTTAACTGATATATTGAAAAACACTAAGATCTTGATGGAGTTTCGTTCTCTGAGCTGGATGATTTGGTCGTGGAGCTTTCATCGTCCTTCTGGACGACATCATTGACAGAACCTTCGGGTAGAAGTGAAGTATTCGAATTACTCCACATGTAGTTCACAGCTTGTCCTGTACACCTCGACGTTGATTAGTTCTTGTTGACCTTAAATCTGTCATTGTTCACTTCGTTGTTTTGGGTGTATCGCCCATTGGTTTGATTTTTGTTCTTACGTTTCTGCATAATTTTCCTGATTGGTTGATAAATTGGATTTATATATTTATTGATATATATATATATATATATATATATATATTGGTACAAAAGGGTATCGTTTCAACTGGTAGTGGTTCAAAGATTATAAATTATCTTCTTTGAAGATACAATACGACACTTATTAATTCGACAAAGATTTATAAGATAAAGTCAGATTCATGTATAGAAAAAACCTAAGCAATTTTCAATAATAAGTTTCTGTTCGTAGGCCGTTGTCAGAGAAGTTTACGTACTCAATTGTTTACATCATTTTGCTTGCGATTACGATAAACAATATCATGATCATAATGATTAACAATTTTCAGCATGAAATACCACTTGAATCAGTTACATTTTTCACGGCACCCGAATACTCTGGTACGGTGAAGGCTGAGGAGAGTCTTCTCTCCCCTTAAAAATGCTCTTATATTGTCACGTGTGTACAGCCACTGCCAGGGAGGCCCTATTCATTGCTTTCTCGCGGCATTACAGTTGTTTACGAAATTGAGAGGACGGAAAGCGAATGTCCAGTGCTTTAATCAGGTTGGAGGACACGGAGGATCCATCTAGGGGAGTCGGAAAACCCTGATTCCAAACCACTGATTCACATGGGCTCCAGTATCCCGAAGGAACAAATGGTGTATGAACCCATTTTTGGCCAACTGATACTATAGAACTTCATCTCCTAACGTTGATCCACTGCCTTGTGGATCAGACCTATAGGTCAAGGGTTCGGGTAGTGGCGTCCTAAGAAAATCACCTGCTTCAGTTCAGGCACTCGGTCAGTATCACAGCCCACACACAAATCAAGTGACTTGTGTAGCGCATAAGTATTCGGTACCCTTTTGTACCTATATTTATATATATATAAACATTTTTCACGATTTTATTGAACGTAGTAAGTTGGTATTGTTTATGCGTTACATACTCATATCATATTTAATAACTTTAAGAAAATACATTATGGAATACTTTTCCTCTGTATAGTAATTACTGTTGACTTTTTTTCAATAAAGAAATAATTTCTTAATGTTTGAGATGGTGGAGAACGTTTGTAGCTCAGGTGGATGAAATAGGTGTTGCTCACAAACCAACAAAATCCCTTCATTCAATCCCATGCAAACCAAAGGATGAAATGACAAAAAATGACAAACCAAACATCATCTACAAAATAAGTTGTCCCAACCTTTTTTAACTAATGTACGACCGAAAACATTCAAGTTTTAGAATTATCTAAAAGTCAGCAACAAAGGTTAGGAACTATTCTCAACTTAATTTCCTGCTGATATGAAACTAAAGATTGTTCTTCTATAATGATATATTTTACAAAATGAACGTTCGATTTGATTTCCTAATCACCCCTAATAACTCCAGACTGAATTTACACATCAACCTAAACATAAGTGAAAAGATGCAAAGAATAGTGGTTAGAATTTCTTTGTCTCCCCAAAAATAAATCGAAATGATTTAGGAATACATCACATTTACAGTTAGATTTGTATAGATTGAACTGAGTTGGATTTAATTATAATAATTCAATAACTTACTGTGTGGACACATATTTCAATATAATACACCACCACCAATATAATACACCACCATTGCAATATAATACAATTAAGCATGTATAATCTTTCCTAAGATCTGAATACATGGCATACACGATTAGAAAAAAACTCAATTTCACATGTTACTTCCATTCTACATGATCAGTTCGTTACTAATAATATCATATAATGTTAAGAATCCTAAAACAAACTGTGAGAATTTATCATTTGATTATTCGCAAGTCCATCAACTTTCAACTCATTACGTTGTGTAACTATCCTGTAAAATAAGTACTTTAAAAAACTACAACAACATTTATCATGCACTATTATAAATTAAGTGAATACGTGAATTTACCTTCATAACAACAAATATGGGTTAATAGTTCATTAACTTTTCAAATTGATTGTAAATTTCAAAGTTGCTTCATTTTTAACTTATATATTCGGTAAGCTTTATTTCACAAGTAAACTAGTGTTTTCAAAACATGTTACGACCCTACTTCAATTAAATAAAATGAACGCCGCTGAAATGTTTCATAATAGGACGAAATAAACGTGTATTACTTTCAGGTATTCCCTAGTTGTCTAACACTGATAGGCTCATTTGACTGCAACGATTTAGTTAGCTTGAAATATTTATTAAGCATAACTAACTATTCATTTCAATTTCAGTAGTTAAAAAATTTATATATAAATGTCCGAGAGTACTCACTTGAATTTTATATATATTGGCTATTTTGAATTATGGTGACGAAATGCTTGGAACTTTTTTTAACACGTCTTCAACATAAAAGATACTAAGTAGGATAAGGACGAACTATTCACATTTGAAACATAAGATAAATGTAAACGTTTATGCTATATTTTTCTATCTACTGTACTTAAATGAAATTTCACTGATGACAATATTGTTGAGAATACCATCTAGTTCACCCTCCCCCCACCATTATTACATTCTTCAAGTGCTGAAATTTTTTTATTCTTCATGACATTCTATCATATTGTTTGAGAGCATTAAAGCATAACGAATTTTTTCTTTCACTTCTATTGGTTTATTCTTTTCAATATCAGAGATTCCCGTTGTGAAAATTAGAACAACATATGTAAGCGAACAGTTGTTTTGAATTAGATCGTCATCAGGCGTTACTCTAATATACAATTCTATAGTTTCAAAAATATCCATTACAAGAGGAGTTTGGTTAGATGTCTCATTAGCAGAGCAAAATGATTTGTTCAGTGGATACTTTAAGTCAGGAGCTGGAATTTATCAACAACTCACTGACCGAGATCGGCTACTCTAGTGAGTTCATAAAAAAGTACATGTATAATATAAAAGGTAAGTCGAAGATTTTGACTGTTCGAAAAAATCCACTATACATTAAACTACAATTGAACGAGGATGTGGCTAGTGATACTCTGAAAGATAGGTTAACGAAAGTAATTAGCGGGACACTCTACGCAGCCAATCTTGTGTTGACTTTCTCGAGTTGACCAGCGTTGTCTACTTAAACGAAGGACAAATTACCTGAGTTAGCCTCCTCAATGTGCATATACAAATTCAGCTTCTCCTGTGGAGATAGCTATATCGGGCGTACTAAATCATTAGTTTACTACTTTGATTGTCACTCCGTTTTTAATTTGGTTTGAACAAATTGATAGTATTATAAACCTTAACATTGAAATATACTGTAATACATAGATTTGTGTATTAAAAAATGCTTTAGAAGATCAGTGACATTTAACTTGAAATGTATAACGCATAAATTAAATACCCATATTGTGGTGTGATCTACTTATATCCACATAAGTAGTATATAGTGATGGTCAGATATAGAATGTATTTTTGCAGAAGATCGATAAGAAAAGGACCAGAACGAAACTCATGAACAATGGAATCAGAGAAGACGGGCTGATATTTGCAGATGGAACAGTTAAGATTGAGACAATTGATTGATAGTTTACAAATTAACTGTTTACTGTAAGGTTATCAGATCTTAGTAATATAGTCTGTAATTTGTGTTTAAATACATTCGATTGTCCCCACTCGTGTTCTTGTTCACTACAATACATTCTACTTTATAATTTAAATAAGTAACTAGGTACTGGACACCGATTGATAAAAATAGATGAACAACCTTAACCAAAAATAATAGAAAAATAAAATGAAATAAATCCAATTCAAATTTTGTATTCATTCAATATAACAAACATTTTTATTTATAATTTTGTTTTATTATTATTAATCCTAATTCTTATTCAAATCTAATTTTGCTTAGCAACAAAGTATATTTAAATCTATACAAATAAATATACAATTAAGAGACATTATAATCTTTGATGTTATTCTATAACACATTCACTCCTTGATTGTTTATTCAGTTTGTCACCTTCTTCTGCATTTGGTTTAAATTCTATAATTTAATAAGTTCCAATTTTATATTCCATTTTCTTTTTGTTTTCTTGTATACATATTTTCCCTTCTTCATTTAACTAACAACATGAGTTAGTTTAAATCCACCACCAGTAAAACGTGATTGTGAATCTTTAATATTTGGATGATATTTTTGTAATTTATTCTCTTGACTACTACAATTTTTATCATTATTTAATGATTCATTATTGATTTGTTGTTGACGTCTTTTTTGTTTAAAATATGTTTTTTTAATATTTTTTAATTCATTATTTAAATGTTCAATTTCAATTTTATATTCAGTTACTTGACTTTCGTAAACATTCATTTCAGCTGTCATTGCCTTTGTTAAAATAATAAATAAATTTGTTATTATAAATAAAATAAATAATTTACTTTATTATTAAAAGTCTAAGGCTAAGATAGTAACTATAATGAATCCTTATGTCTTGATAAAAGATTCGTTCTCCGAAACAATGATGCTGATGCCGGCTCAGTGGTCTATCGGCTAAGTGCTCACGCGCGAGATTGGTAGGTTCGGGGTTCGAATCTCGTGTGGCGGGATCGTGTATGCGCACTACTGAGGAGTCTCACATTGGGACGAAACGTCCGTCCAGTGCTTCCAGGTTTTCCCTGGTAGTCTGGCTTCAATTGACTCATGATCTCAACTATATAAAATTACTAAAATCTCCACAAAACCCCCTTCTGATAATGATGTTGATTGTTTAAATATGAATAATCAGTGTGTATACGAATTTTTTTTATAAATGACATACAAGTATGTCAGTCGCTGTCATCCGACTATCACCCAGAATGATATTTTTTTATATAAATCACTAAGACCTATTTCAAATAAAATTGAGCATTTTAGAATTACTCTAAAATAATCAAGTTGGGATGTTTTTAAAATATTATTATTAGTCAGTTATTATTGTGACATTAAGTTGATCTAAAACCATGGATATAACAGAACATTTGAAGTAATTCACTAATAGGAATAGCAGGTTGAAATTACCGATTCTTTTTCAGCACAACTCTAAATAATCGATCTTATTTTAAGGAAAAACTGATAATTTTATGCAGAAAGACGATGAAAGCTTCGGTTTTTTTTATCAGTTAGCTCACAGAACTTAACATTCCCAAATGTATATCTGAATTAATAAAATGAATAAACGTTTATAATGACTGAATCAGATTACAAACAACCTTATCCTGATAATTATTGTATGTTTATTAGTGACTAGCCTGGCAAGTAAATTTCCTAACTCCTAGTGAGAAGCCGTGACCAGTGGATTTCAGCCTTGTCAAGTGTGAAGCAGTTACCTACCGAAGGCAATAAAAGAAAGTCGAGCAATATCATGGATTGGTTGAAGCTAGACATTTACACAGTTAGATGCCGGTTCAGTCGTCTAACGGTCAAGTGTTCGTGCACGAGACCAAAGATCCTGATTTTGATTACTGCGTACGGGGTCATGGATTCGCACTTCTGAGGAGTCTTATGCCAGGACGAAAGGGCCCTCCAGTGATTCCAGGTTTTCAACGGTCGTTCAACTTAGATCGGTTCATGATCTCGATGAAACTCAACACTCTCTACAACCCTATACTGACGGATGTAATATGTCCAAATCATTAACGAATCTATGTAGTACGGATACACAAATCAGTCGTCACAGTGATATTATCAAAACTTTGTGCTAGTAATCAATAAATAAATCAATTAAGTCTCTTATTTTACTTACTTTCATTTGCTTTGTTTTATCTCTAATCATATTTTGGTAGATATTCAGTTGTTCTGCAACTTCTGGACCTGGTTGACGTGCTAATATATGCTTTAATTCAATGTAAATTTTTTCCTTTTCTTGAATAAGTAGTTCTTTTTCAACTACTTCTTCAGTTTTACTAATAAGACGTTTTTGTAATGCCTGAATTTTCTGTATCATTTCATAGGTAGATGGGTCACTTCCCTAAATAAATAAAAAATACCATTGGTTATATATATGTGAGCTGAGTAGATATTTACTGGTATCTATTACTCTAAAAATAATTAGGAGATTGTGTACAAGAGGCTATCACATTATGGTATATCATATCTCTGAATAAGAGAACCATCTATGGCTGCATTCTAAGCTTGGTTGAACAAACCTTTGTTTCAAAATAATTGTCTTCAATTTATAAAACTTACAAGAAATTAAATCATTGTCAGCCATCATGTTGGTTACAGTTATATATTGATAAGTTTCATCTTGTTATCATTAACTTTTGTTCACTTGTCCAATATTCTTTCATCACTGTAAAACCGTTTTTTACATCTCAACACGATTAACTCATCCAACAGTGTACTAATAAAATAACCGAATTCACTGAGATCTTTATTAATTTTTTTCAAATGTAAAGATGGATATAATTTCCAAATAGTTCAAGTCAAAATAAAGGTTTTACTTACTAATATCTAGAAGTGTATAAAGTGAACTATGAAGCAGTCGGTAAGTTTAAACACATGGGAAAATAAAAATTTAAAATTGTAGTATACCATTAAAAATTGAATTGAATTATCTGGAATTGAATTATCTGGAATTGAACTATTCACCTAAATTTACCTGAACCTTAATGTTGATTTTCACATTGGGACTCAAACTTATTTTTTTTGGACATCAGCGTGTTATCCATTGAGGTAGTAGGTCTAGATAATCACTTACTAACTCAACGAGTATGATATTCATATAATTATTATAAAGAAAAAAATATTTTAAATTATCCACATGGCTTGCAAAAATAGAAACCAACATCAGTCAGTCAGTCACGACGTGGAACTTCGTACTACGTACATCAGTTCGAGTTGTCATACCACATTAGCACAGAGATGCAGTTGTCGATTCAATCTCATAGTGGTAGGAGTAGTAAAAGCATAAGTAGTATTCGGAAAGATTAGGGTTTGAAGATGTTATTCAAGGAGTGTAATCTAGTGAAATAAATTTGGAAAGAGAAAAAGGGTACGGAAATGAAGAATTCAGAAGATTAGAATTCAGTAGAACATAAAGAGTGGATGCAATTTCGCCATTGCAAACGATTTTGAGCCATGTAATTTAATGTCTTTAACCATCGATTGCTATCATCTCGCGAATCCCGACCAGGTAGTCTACACCTACCAACATGGCTCAGTCCAGCTGTCCGTGACTTAATGGATTTGTGCCATGTTTTGGTCTAGCTGCCCCTAGCTTTCTTCCAACCTGCTCCTACACCATGAAACATCGCTCGTCGGAGCAGTCAGTGGTTAAGCATACGTAACACTTGCCCAGCCATATCAACTGATGAAGTTTCACTAATTCGTCGATTGATTTGCCATCCTAACAACTGCATGACTTATTCGGTGGTCCCAGGATATACGAGCAATGCTTCGAAGACACCTATAATCGAATACTAGTAGCCTACGAATATCTTCTACTCTTACCGGCCATGATTCACTGCCATAAAGTAGGACGGAACGAACTGCTGCACAGTAAACCCTTAATTTGGTTGATAGACGGATATCTCGCCTACGCCATTAAATGATGTAGTTTGGCAGAAGCTAGACGAGCCTTTTGTATCCGTGCTGAGATTTCGTCACACACAAGACCACAAGGGCTGATGAGACTCCCAATATAAGCGAAGCGGTCAACACGCTCAATTATTTCACTCATTATCATTAATTCACTTGTCGATGCAACTTAATCCTGAAGTAACATTTTGCATTTCGATGGGGAGAATCGCATCCCGTACATGCCTACATTGTTGTTTATATTAATCAGAAGGCTCTGCATTTTGTCAGCATCTTCATCAAATACATTTATATCATCACCGTATTCTATTAACATAGCAATAATTCCAAATATTAAAAAAAATTTAACATCATCATCATAATAATAAAAGAACAAATTATTTTTACTTCTAATTTTCTCCATCTATGTACATTAATTGGATTTTGTAATTCATCTTCTAATGCTTTAACTCTTATTCTTTCTTTTAATAAATTTTTTTGTATTCTATTCATTTCTATTTTATAATGATTAATATTTTTTGTTGTATTATGTAATAATTGATTTTCTAATTTTAATTTTTTTATTTCTTTTTTTAATAAATTTATATCATTTAATCTTTCATTATATTGTAATTCACCTTTATTTAATATAATTGATTGTATATTTAATTTTTCATAAATTAATTTTAATTCATCATTTCTACGTATTAATTGACTACCTATAATATCTCTATCATTAATTAATTTTTCATATTGTTTTTTTTCAATAAAATATTGATTATTTATATCATTAATAATTTTTTTTAATTTATTTTCTTCTAATTTTTGTTGTTCATTTAAAATTAAATTTTTATTAAATTGTAATTTTAATTGATTTAATTCATTTAATAATTGTTCATTAATTTTTTCAATTTTTTGTTTTTCCATTGTTTCATTAATTAAATTAATATCACGTATTGATAAATCATTTTTTAATTGATTTATTGAATAATTTAAATTTTTTAATTGTTTTTTCATATTAATTAATTGATTTTGTGTAATAATTAAATTTTTATTATATAAATTACGATCATTACATACAGCTTCATATAAATTTTGTTGTTGTTTTAATTTAGTTTCATATTCAGCAATTTTTTTTTTATTTTCAAAAATTTGCATTTCACGTAATTTAATATCATCCATATTTTGTAAAATTTTTTGTGTTAATTCTGATGCTTCCGTAATATAATGATCACGTTCACGTTCTAATTTATAAATAATTTTACGTTGTTTTAATGCTTCATCACGATAATTCATAATTTCTTGTTCTAAATTTTGTTTTGATATTTCATTAATTTTTAATAAATTTGCTTGTTTTATTGTTTGTGTTGTTGTTTTTGTTAAAGTTTTATTTAAGGATTCTTTTTCACGATTAAATTCTTCACAAGCTTTTTTATTTAATTCATTTGTTTTACGTATTAATTCAATTTCATTTTCATAAGAATTAATTTCATTACGTAAATGTTCACATGTATGTTGTAAATTTAATTTTTCTTCTTCAATTTGATTAAATTTTTTATGAATTAATTCATTTTGTTTTAATAAACGATGATAATCAGTTTTAGCACATTGTATTTCATCTTCTCGTTGCTAAATGTAAACAAGAAAACAAAAAAATAAATAGTTGAATTAATTAATCAAATTAATTACTTTATAGTTGAAATTATGAGTTAATCGGAGACAGACCACCATGGAGAACCTGGAAGCACTGGACGGCAGTTTTGTCTCATTGTGAGACACCTCATGCAGTGTGCATCCACGATGCCAGCTCGCGAGATTCTAATCCAGGAATTATCAGTCTCGAGCGCGAGCGCTTAACCAACAGAACCACTGAGACGGCCGGCATCCAACAGTGCTAATGCCTAACTTCGACAAATCCACGAAACTGAGCAACCGTCCACTATTTTCTTCGGTGAGTCGAGGTTCTAGAGGTTAAGTGCTTGCGCGTGAGACCAATAGGTGCTGGGTTCGAATCTCGTGGGGCGGGATCGTCGATACGCACTTCTGAAGAGTCCCACAATAGGACGAAACGGCCTTCCAGTGCTTTCAGGTTTTCCATGGTGGTCTAGCTTTAATTGACTCATGACTTCAACTATAAATATAATAAAATCTCCACAAAAACTCCTTCTGAAAATTAATTATTATTGCTAAATATAAGTTTATTCTATTAAAGATTACTTGAATGAATTATATTCAAAATCATTTCTGTTGTCCTAATTTATCTAAATGTTGTTACTAATTCAAGTTCATAACATATAATTAATACTGCTGAATAAGGATTGTTTGACAAGATAATAAAATATCCAAATATCATATCTGATAATGATCGTATTATGTCAACAGTATACTGAATCTAACTTGATGTCATTAATTAATATAATTTTCCTACCTGAATTTTGTTAAATACTAATGATACTAACTCTTATTATGTAATTTGTATGTATCATCTATAAGCTTGTTGTCAAAACTGTATACTGTCATGATTGATTTTTGTTTCAATAGAATTCTTATACTTAGAAATTATGTTTATTACTATGTATTTCTTATAACATTTACAAATGGATTAATTGACTTTTCTAATCATCCTTATCTGTACTTTTGGTTTCCAATTACCAGTATTTGTGTGACTTTACATTTTATAAATAAATGTCTTTTCGACTTGTTGAAGGTTTACCCATGTATTTTCTTTCCGATTCCGAGAAATTGATGTGATTTATTAGTATAAACAAAGTAATCTTTTGATGAGGCAATAAGTTTCCGCCGATTGAGTTAATTGAAACATTTATTAGTTCAGTTCAGTAATGTTTGGATAATGGAATAATAAGTTATAAGTGAATTAATGGTGGTTAGATGAAGAAATTTTAACATTATTTGGAGTCAATAACCACTGACTTGAGCTGGTTCGAGAGATATATACTTTCTAGTAAACTTCTTTGGCATATTCCCGATCTATAGTGGGAAATCACAAGTGATGTGACTTGTAATCTATCTCAGAGACACATTCATCTCCTCACTTTTGAACCTATAATCATTCCATTGATTTTATTTTTCTATCTTATTCATTTCATCAGAACTACGCTTGTTATTTTAAGTTGTAACCATCATCGCATTATTTAAACGAATCTCCAACTTTCATCTTCGCAAATTCCTATTATTGTTCTGACGACAGTCATGACATTTTTTACCAATATATAATTGTGTTAGACTGTATATTCCCTATGAATGAATGGTTAACACTAGTTTTTCTTGTCTGAATCAATTATTTAAAATACAAGAAATGTATTCAAATATGCTATAGATCAATATAAAAACTTTAATATGAAACAAAATACGAAAATAAAAAAATTCTTTACCTTCAACTCAGTTGTTTTTGATTGTACTTGAGCCGTGACAGATTCATTGACTTCAATCTGTTGTTCAAGTTTTGCTTGACAATCTTTTAATTTGCCTTCAGTTATTTGTAAATGACGGTTAGCTTGCTCTAAAGAGACTTTTGTTGTACGATTTTCTTCATCTTTTGTACGTAATTCTTGTTTCAATTTCTCAACAGATGTTGAGGTAGAACTGATCTCTTCCATTTTTGCTTCAACTTCGCTACGTACCTGCTTCAAATCTTTTTCTATTTGTTCTTTTTTACGTAATTCTCTTTGTGCTTCAAGATTTTTATTCTATCAAAAATGTTATGGTGGAAATAAAGTAAAATTATTAGCTAAAAGTGACCAGAGTTTTAAATAAGCTAGATACTATAATGAAATAGCTTCGATGTTTTAAATTACTCACATTTTAGGTCATTTTATTGTTTCAAAAATTGCAAAAAGGAATTATCAATATGGTTATCTTGATTTTAATTATGTTACCCTACATTTTGAAAATTTACAAAGTTCACTTTAACTACTCTTAAGTAGTTCCATATGATTGGTAAAATAAGTAGACGGCTGGCTAAAGTATCATTCACTTATGTATGTAGTACATGTACTTCAAATGAAGTTTGAAATATTTTAAAACCGACAGGTATATATACAAAAGTAACTACTTCCCAAATGAAACCTGAATAGTAAGGATCACTCTATATATAATAATAATATGTGGTTCCTAAACGATTTGAATTTTGAGCAAGTAAACTTATCTTTTAATAACATAGAAATCACATTCAAATAGTATGTTATTTCTTGTGTTCTGACTAAAGTTTTAGGTCTATCCAATGAACCTTCAAAGACTTCTCAAAGATAAAATAAATTATAGTTAGCTGTGTTCAAAATGCGCAAAATAATCTACTTTTTAATTTCCTGAAGTCAGTGTAGTGTTCCAGTTGATATAACTTAGTAACAAATATTAAGATTGAAGTTCTCCAGTCACTAAGGCTACCAGTTTGGGTTATAAGCTGCTGTTTTACAAGGATTAGATGACTCAACAGGATTTTTGGGAAGGCGGTGCCGATTTAGGACTTTTTGAACAAACTACTTTGTTCTATGTCATGAAATAGAAAAACGGTAGCCATGAAATCAACATTTAGCACAAATAAAACTAAAAACAATCTTGTTTTAAAGTCCAAAAAGGGCTTCTTTCTCTTTAGCAGAAAAAAAGTTTAAAATTTAAGCTGGGTAGCTCAACGTATTGAGATATATAACAGAAGAATAATCAGATATTGTATCAGAATTTGCAAATCCTTACAGTTAACCAACCTGAAGATCTACAGTTAATTCTGTGATTTTATTTTGTGCTTCCAACAACTCATTTTGATAAACTGCAATACGATTCCTAGTTTCTTCAATTTGTTCTCTTAATTTCTGATTGTCGGAAATTTGTTCATCACGTTCTTTAAGTAACTTCTCTTTTTGCCTTTGTAACTCAACTAAACTAAATAATATAAAGTAGTATAACACATGTGCAAATATTTTCTTAAATGTGTTCATCGCATTACAAATAACTTCTTCTTAGATCTTATGATCAACACAAACATTTTACTGTCGAATGAACTGGTAATATATATAACAAAAAGCAGTTTGTTTATTACTAAGTAGTAACCACTGTCATGTATGTTTAGCTCTATATGTGCTAATCAAACCCTTCAATCGATTTCTATTTCACATTTTGACATCAAAATACAAAATTTAGAGAAGGGTGTGGTGTTTATATGAACCAATGATTCCCTTGTACTTGATGACTGCTTTATTTCCAATTCCAAATACAATACATTCGTTCGTGTTTATGTAGCACTTCTTGATTAAATTGCATTATTTCTGGGATTCCTAGTTTATACTATAACTGAAATACTACTAATTATCACAAAAGGATCACTTTTCAATGGATATTTAAGCCAGGTGGTCATCTGACGTTACTAACTGATCAAATAGCAATTTTAGGAATTGCATCATTGAATAGACACTTTCTTCATCCTAAAACGGTTTTGAATGTTTCTGTTCTACTTGTAAGAACTTGATGTTTTTCATAGGTCTTTCTACCACTTGACTATTGCATAAATATATTTTTCTGATTTTTTGGACTTCAGTAGATTGGTTCCGTTTAAAAAATGAAGAATTATCAACTGCTTGTTTTCCTTGTTCCGAAATTGCTGTATAAAAGAGTTACACATTACATTATGAGGATTACTACAGATCGAAACAGTAGAGTTATTCTACTTTTCATCCAAAGGATTCACTTAGTGCAGTTTTGTACATACTTCCTTGACCAAACCAAGTAATCTGCCGAAAGCCACCCGATATTTCATCTGCATGAAGTTCCTTTCTTCTCTCACAATCTGTTGACTAAAAGATCCCGAAGTTTTAAAATATGAGAGCAAGTAGGTTTACTTCCTCATATCAGCGTCGAAACTGCTCAAAATGTCCAACCATCTTGCAAACGACCGCAAATAAAATGTAGCTTATTTATGCTGTGTTAGATTGGTTGGGCTTCATATTAGTGAATGTAAGAGAACAAAAAAACTAATCTATGTCCAACATGCTTATCATTATATTCACATAAAGTACCTGGTTTGCCCATCGGCATCCTAATGTGATCGTTAGCTTTCTTGAAGAAAGTTATCTAAACATTCTTATTTTTAAGTAGTTTTAACTGTTAATACATTGTAAATGACTGTAAATTTCAACCAATGGCCCCCATTGTGCTAAAGTAGCGATACATTTGCGTCCTGTTTGAAATAGAGGTGTACAATGAAATCTTCAGTTAAGATCAACTTTTTAACTAGTCTTTGTCAAAAGTGGTGTACCCCAAGGCACCATCGTAGGCCCTTCACTTTTCCTTCTCTATGTTAATGAATTACCTTTATTGCTTAAGTCGTCGACATTATTGTTTGCGGATGATGTTAAAATCTGGAGAACAATAAGAAGTGAGGCTGATCGTTTTCATCTCCAAGTTGACTTGGACGAATTAGTTAGATGGGCTCGTGGTTGGGGATTAGAAGTCAATTCCAGGAAGAGCATGCTCATGGACATTGAACACGGTAATATTTACCATTATACCATTGATGGTACTTCTCTTCCATGCCTTCATGAACATAAAGACTTATGAGTAATAATAAGGCACGACTTGAAAACAATGAAGATACCAAGGTATTGTAGTTTGACAACTACTAACCAGTAACACCTTCTATAATTATATTGCACCCACCCAGTAAAATCAAAAGTCAGAAGCGAGATGGTTGGAAGATATATTTAATAGATTATCAATATATCAAGGAGTGACTGATCTTATCTGGCTAATGATCGTATGAGACGCTTCTCACGCCGTTCTAAACCGTGATCTGGTACGGATGCATGACCGAGCGCCTTCAGCTAAATGAGTCCACTAAAACTAATGTGGTCAATATCCAATGTCGAACACTTACAGAGCTATTGATTTTGAGGATTTATTTACAGCTACAACAACTACGCACTGCAACGCAGCTGCTTTAAAAGGCAATCCTATGTCATGGTCACTTTGCCGAGCATTCAAATGCTTTGACGAGATGTTTCGAATTTTATATCCCACCTACGTAAGACCATACTTAAAGTAATGTACCCAAGCAGCTAGCCCATGTCTGATAAAGGATATTAACTCATTTGAGCGAATTCAGCGCGTTGGGGCGAAATTATTGAAGGGTCTTTCTAAACTCCATTACGATGAGCGCTTGAAAAGACCAAACCTTTTCCCTTGTCTTATAGTAAGACGTGAGGTGACCTTAGGCTGGCATTTCGTATCTTTGATTATGATTTGGGTGTTAATATGTCTTATCAGTTCGCTCCCTCCAGCACTGATAATCGACGTCGTCAAATCAATAAGGTTCACAAACCGCGACCTAATAAACTAAATGTGGGGTCCCGTTTTTCTCATTGAGTGGTCAATGGCTAGAACGCCTTATCCGAACAAGTGGTATCAGCCCCATCAGTGAACATTTTCAAGGAGAAGCTGAACCTTCACTGGAAGGCGATCTGTTAGGATTAATACAGGTTCACCAGCCTACTATCTTCATTACGGAAGACTGAAGACTGAGAGTAAGCAAACTATAACTGTGGTTCAAACGAATGCTAGTTTCCTATCCAAGCCTGATTTCAAAGTTTTTGGATACTTGGAGGCTACTGAACTATTAAAAGCTTTACTGCTTCCCGACTACGCTTATATTTCAACATTTTATGCTTCACTTTCTGGCTTAAACTGGCCGGCAGTAAGCAAGACACCATCTGGAACTAACTATTGTAAAACAGAACCACTTCTTGGGTGCTCATCAAAAAGAACGGCATATATCATTACCTTTCTGATCCGGCTACGTCAGTGTCACCGCGTTCCAGCAACTTGCTTAAATTTGCTATTTCTTCCTTGAGATCTTTAATTGTTGCATGAGCTTTAGTCTCTCGGTCAGCAGCAGCGTCGACCATCTTCCATGCCTGCTCGATTTCCCGTTTAAGACTTGCGACGTTACTTGGATCATCACTAGAAATATTCGCAGCCTGTGCAACCTTAGCAGAACTTGAAACTATTTCTGATTTCAGCTCCCTACACTTTCGCATTAACAGTTTTTCATTATCATGTGATTTGGAAAATGCCCTCATTAACTTTTCGTACCCATCCTTGAATTTCTCCAAATTTTTATTTCCTTCCAATTCTCTCAGAACCTAATTGTTAATTTTTATTCACCTAAAAATTACTAAGGTTTACCTCGTCGAAATCACATTTTAGAGTCTCGTAGGTCTCATCATCAACGGCAGATTTTATTGTTGCTTTCGTGACGTCAGCCTTAAAATAGTTTTAAAAAACTTTATTTCTCACATCAGATGTATTTGGTTGTTGATTCATTTGTAATTCGTAGCCTACTTTTAAAAAATCTACATTTCGTAGTCATGCAAACAACCTTGATGCGGTTATTCGCTTGTTAATGAGTGTAAGGTCGACCAACCCTTTCAGTGTTCAATATGAGTACGTTGTCAAGCATTCTCACTCATTATTCCGTTTACGTCTGAACCACTTGTAAAACTAGAGATATGCTATATGAATCACAAAGGTCAAAGTACTTTTTTAAAATAGACCTAAAAGAGGTATATTTACAAATTTTACTCGATGAGGTTTTAGTGATTTAATAAATACTATAAAGGATCATTCGAGTTTCACACATATAAATTTTTATCGTTTGAATTTAATGTCTCGCTGAGATATTCCAAAAGGCTGTAAATCAGATCACGAGTAGTCCTGATGTTGTTGAATCTTACAAAGATGATATCGTATTTTGTGCTGTAAATACTGAGTTCCATAGTGAACCGCTTTTAAATTCACCTAAACTATTCTATGATGAAACTTTTTCCATGACCTATCAAAATGCTGATTTTGACTTCATCTCATATACCGTTTAAGCAACGTATCAACGTATCGACGATCTGTTCGATATTCAGTGACATTTCACTGACCCTACAATACTCTACAGTCCTAAAATTAGTCTTAGTGGGAATAATTGGACACAGGCATTCATGAAGTGTCAGAAATCCAAAATACATCATCATACTAGCTCCAAAACGGGTTCATCCTCTCACCCAGACACTATTCGAACATATACACATAATTGTCGTAGGACCACTGCTGGTTACGAATGGATACAACTATATTTTTACATATGTCGACAGATTTACACGATGGCCTGTAGTGGTACCAATAAAAAACCCAATTGCCGAGTCTGCAGCCAGAGTCCTTGTGGAAATTGGAATTTCTTACTATGGCGTACCAGCGTTTATCATAACCGATAGAGGAGCTTAATTTCAAAGTCGACTCTTCCAGCAACTTACAGAACTACACTGAATTAAACGTATTCGAACAACATCCTACAATCCAAGGGCTAATAAGCTTCCTCTAGTCATGTTGGGTGTAGGAACAACAATTAAAAATGATATGAGATGTTGTCCAGCAGAGTTGGTATATGGAACTACTCTACGTTTATCCAGAGAATTTTTCACTTCAGGCAAACAAGTTTCAGCGGATATAGCCAACTACGTGTAACACATGAAGAAGCACATGATCGATCTAAAAATAACACCTTCTAGACTACAACAACGATGAGTGTTCATACCGTAAGAATTAAATAATGGCACTCAAATATTCACTAGAAGAAATAATACACAACTACCTCTGCAGTCGAATCACAACGGTACATTTGAAATGATGGCGAGGACATATAAGACAGTTACCGTAGAAAAAGCTGGAAAGATAGATATAATCAGCATCCATCAAGTGAAACCAGATTCAATCGATAGCAATTTCCAATCGACCAGTACAAACCCCTCGAAGACGTTCATACCAACTAAAGATGAGTCTCAAGAATGAGCAGCAAAAACAAGAGATTCCGGTAGCAACAAGATATAGTCGACAAGTAAGGTGGTCGCAACGATACATATCTAGGATTTTTAATTAACAAATTTTTCACCTCTTCAGAATTGATTTTTCACACCTCTCCCTTTTGTATGTGTACATCAAAAATTTTAACTTATCTATCATTATATTCGACATATTTTGGATATTCTGGTGTCAATGTGTGTAAACTTCTAAAGCACTACGGTACTCTTTTGATCTTCCTTTACTATCTTATCTGGCCTCACGGACGTATACGAACTCAAGCTTACAAATATTTGTAATAACTTACACGATGGTTCTATCACACGTCTTAGTTTCGTAAATTTCGATATTTACCATCCAGTTGAATTTAACATTTTTCTTTGCAAACACGGACACTTTTGATTTGTTTTGTTTGTCGGAGGGAGAGTTATTATAGCAGCTCATGCACATATGAGTTTGCTCACATTTAGTTCGGTTAAGCCCTTTTGTTAACTTATTTATCGGAGAGTCATTCATACAACAACAACTCATCTATGCCATTGTACCTTCATTACTTGTTGCGCTTGTATGAATATGTATGCTTGAGCACTGCTTACTGCCTATGCGCACATGCATTCTGTTAGCTTTAGTTTTAGTCGCGCAATTGATTAAATGATTCATTCATTTCCCTCTAATTAGATAAATATGCACATTTTAATCCTATTCATTCAACTTGCTCACTTACTCGCTCGCTTGCATTTCGGCATCATCCTTTCATTCTTGTTTTGCGTGTCTGTGGATACGGTGATCTGCATGTAGTGTAATAGTAAACGTGATCAACGTTTCGTATTTGTTTTTTTTTATTTATACACCTTTGGGGGCGTCATCTAGAGACGGTTATCAGGACGAACAATATACATAGTTTAAGGATTATATCCAATACCGACCACAACAATCGCGTCCACAGACGAATAGAATTTAGAACCAATTTTTTGGTATTTTTAAACCGGCAGCTCGATGGCCAAAAACATACCACATGCATATTATCTATCACGTCACTCATATTCTGCTAGTTCAACGATTGTCATTGGTAGAACACAGCTTATAAAGAACACTAGTTCGTAATTCGGAAGTATCTCACATTTGTCCCCCTTCAAAAGCAATATTAGGAATCTCTAACTTGAATCTTTCGAATCATAGCAACGTTGCCATACCAGTTGCCGTGACCTAGTTTTAAACTAGAGTTATGCCTTTGTTATTAAAAAGCCAAACTGCAAATATGCATAAGCATTGGGAATATTTCGTGAGAAATCAGGAAACAAGGTGATAAACAATCAAAAATGAATGACAACAGTTTCATATGTTCCCAAAAGATCAATGTAATATGTGATGAAGCACACTAAAAAACACATTTACAATTAAAAATAAAACGGAAGAGTTATATTCTAAATTTATGTGCACATACGGTATATTTTCACAAATAAGCACACAACTTTTCATTAATTCATAAAAGAGTCTTAAGGGCAAGCTTTTGATGAGACTTCCTAGTGGTTGATCTTGGCGTGCAAACTGCTGTTTGACCTCGACCGTATTCTATAAATTTTTGTGAAAATAATGGCCACAAGAGTGAAAGGACAACCGTGATTCAGGGATCTGGTACAGTAAAACCTAAAAATTTCAACAAGTTATATACCAGACGATTTTCTATTCATCAACTCCTTTAATGACGCGTAGTTTCTTTCAGTTTTCAAAGAGGTCTCTTCATCTTCTCAGGTCAACAACATAAATTAAGACGACAGAATTCTTCACTGAATATCGGGAGGAAAAGATAGGATCGTTAATTGATAACTTGGACACACTTCTTTGATCATTTTATTCAATTTCTATCTATGTTACAAGCTGGTTTCAAAAGAATTGATCTAGGTTATATCAATTTCACTTCAGAAATCAATTTGTAAGAGGATTCTTATGAAACTCATTAAAACAAAAGATGCTATTAATTAATAACCCACTCGTGTTACTGCTCTGGTAGCTATTCAACATATGATACTTAAGGAAGAACGAACATAGTGAACTCGATAATGGAAAAGTGCTGTCATGGTCACCCCGTGTAACCTTTTGCTTTTTGTGTAAAATATATCACTCTTTTCTAAGCCCTAACGTGTTTTTCAGAAGCGCTTTACGTCATACTGCTGATTGTCAAGATAGGGAAAGTCTGTGTAGACTATGTTGTGACTTACGCATGCCCAATCAAAGATTACCACAACGTCCAATGCTGGCTAGTGTTGGAGAAGTATTGAAGAACTGTAGGGTTGACCAGACCCAAAAGTCCCTAACTTCTTATCGGAGCCATGCTAATAGACTTATAAAACTTGGTCTGGATCTGCATGATCACCATGACCGATAGTTGATGACTCTGGGTAACGTGGCTCATGATCGATCACGACGGTGTAGGTGTGTGTCCTCTTCGTCCTCTCATAAACAATGAGATTAAAATAACCTCATACCTTTCTGAAAATTAATTCCTTCTCCTTACATCATAACTTTATATGACACTTTTTTACTACCACTGAAGCAACTGTCTCTGTGAATCTGATGTTCATTTCGTTGTGCTAATTAGGTATGGCAACTTGGACCGATGCATATATGTGCCTATTCTTGAGTTTTAGATGGTAGGATAACGCCTGCAAGGATTTTGCAAGATTTTAAATGTCTATTCGCGACCACTTTAATAATAACCTCAACAAATCCACTACAATCTGCCTTCACTCTATGCAATACAGCTGGGGGTTTTTCTCAAAAGCCCAGAAAAGGATAATGGAAAACAGTAAAGTATAATAGATAATAAGCAAGAATTGACAAGTTATAAGAGTAAATGTCGAGTAATTCCAAAAGCATGTAGCCTCTTTATATAGTAAGTCAGATGGAAAACGTTCTTTGGTATCAATCAAACATGACAAAACAAAATGAGATCAGAGGTAAAATCTACACCAAGATAACAAACTTTTGAAACTGTTTTTACTACAGAATCTGAAGTGAACCCATAACCCGATTCAGAAGTCTCCTTCATGATTCTAATTCCGAAAGTGGATTGTTTCACTTGTTGAATATCAATGTATTTAACAGTGTTTTATACAAACAAAGTCTAATTGACCGAAAAACAAAGTATAACCTTTAAAACTTTTCTGGTCTATCTTATTTTGATTTCTTTCTATTCATCTTAATATCTAAAATCTCCTTATGTCCATATTTGTGATTATTGCTACTATTGTCATAACTGGTCGTCGACATACTAGATTTTTTTCGTCCCTTATTTTCTTTTCAAACATATTTATAAACAACCAAAGTCTATAACTAAAAACAAATTATCTTGGGCTATATCTAAATAAATTATCTTTTCAGATCCATTTTATCTTCATTACACGCATATAACACATAGAAATCGATATTTGATTATCCTTTGAAATTAATTGGGATTTTTATCACTCCAGACTATCACT